ATTTTTGTTTCCCAGTAAGTGGAATAGCTTAAAAAACAGCCCTTCATATTTTAAACTGGTATTTAAAATGAGCAAGAAGATGAACTAAAATTTCAATATGGATTATCTTTGAAGAATTTACCCAAAATCAAACAGGGATAATTCTACTATACTACATACTAATAAAAAATGAAAATATGATACATGGAATGACTCAGATAAATCATTTGTGATACTTAATTATTAGTATATGTTACTGTGTGTGCATAAATTCAGGATCAGTAATTTGAAAATTTATTATATACTACTTTTAAACTGTTACAATCTACTTTATCTCACATAAATAACCTTATATTAAATTACTGTTAATTATTTCCTTTCCCTACTTTATTGACTTTGTAACTTATATTTCAATGTTAAATATATTTATTTTTATTTGAGACATATTACTTAAATGAAGTAGCAATTCTATATCTTCAAGTTGTAGATTTTAGATGAGAGATGACCGAAATAAATGATACATAATACCTCAAATTTTATAAATATTTTAAAATAGAAACACTTAAAATAATGTCATGGTTTAGCAACAAAGTCAACTGTAGAGTATCAGTCATTTGCCCATACAAATATTAGCTGACTACAGCCACTGTTAAAAAACCGAAGTAATTGATCTATCTTAAGTTGGTGAAATTTATTGTTTGATATTAGTTTTTTGAGATGAATCAATGTCAACTCAGGCATGAATAATGAATTATTTTTAAATCATATGAAATGTTCTATTTTTTATTTATAACTTGATGGATTTATAATTTCTATAATTGAAACTATGAATAAAGATGATATAAACATACTTATATGTGGACACATAATTGAGCATGAAAAAAATATTATTTAGGCTAAACATTCAAATGACAGAGAAGATCATGTTAGAGTCTATTAGGTAAAAAGAACTAATTCTCAAAGACACCAGTGTCAGTTCACAAACAGTACAAGTTTATGATGATCATTATTTAGTAATAATTTCATAAATAAGAACATGCCTAACAGTCAAAAAATGGTTATATGAACACTTATTGTTTGCATATTGACTAACTTTTAATTTATCCAACCATAGTGGGTAGGTACCTTGAGAAGCATAGGATAAGTAAACTGAGCAAAGTTATGTAGGTGGTAAGAAGTTAAGATAGTTTAGGAATTTGAATTTGATTTCATTACCCTATTATCTACCACATTATATTTTATCATTTGAGGTCAGAAGAAAAGCAAAAGATTTCAATTTCCTCAAGCAAGATTTCAACCAAATTGTGAAGAAATTTTATACCATTAATCATCCAAAAGCTCTGAAATAATACAACTGAAAATTTAATTGGTTTTATAATAACTAAAATTTCAAAAGAATTTTTGAATTCCTTTGTAAATTTTTGAATTTGTAAAAATCAACTTAGATTGTACTGCTGAGATATAAAGGCTCAGTGAGACAATATTTAACATGGAAAAAATGTTTATAAGACTAAGATAACTCTAAAACTTAGTCGTGTTTTTAATTACTCTGTGACTTTGGATCACTGAAGAATGAGCCATTTGAGAAAGTAAAATTTTGACGTTCACCACACAGTCTGTTAGGAACAGTATAGAAATTAAGACAGAAAGAAGTGTCTATATAGAAGACATTAAAAGATATGGGTGGTGCAAGAGATAGGACTATAGAGCACTCACTATGAAAACAGTAAAGTATTAAGTGCTTAGCAGTAAAGATACAGGGCATTTGGATAGAATAATATTCAAGTAATGAGGTTAAATGTCTAATAAAAAGTCTTCCACCAAGAGTAGCCTATGTAGAAAATCAATGCATTCTTACTGAATTTTTCAAAAAATTTAAAGAACTAAGACTAATTATTCAATAACTATTCCTAGATTAACAGGGTGAGAACCTAACTCATTCTACAAGGCTAACATTGCCCTTGTAAAGAAACCAGACAATGATACGAAAGTAACAATTGAAGTATATCCTGATGATTACAATTTAGAAATTATAAATTAATAATAAATGAAATCAAATATCACATAAAATTACTCATTAAGATCAAATGAGACTTATTTAAACAGTGAAAAGACAGCTCATATATAAAAATTACTAAATATATCACACTTAACAGTGAATAATGAAAGTCACGTGATCTTGTCAATGGATGTAAAAAGTATTCAATAACTCTCCCATCCTTCATAGTAAAATCCCTGAACAAATTAGTTACAGAAAGACCGAGATTCAGCATTAAATATATTACATATAGCACATCATCAGGTGACATCACGCATAACAGGGAGAAGACTGGTAGTGGCCTCTAGAATCCTCATCCAGATGAAGATGTACACTCCCACACATTTTAAGTGAAATAGTACTGAACATTTCTACAGCAATTAGACAAGAAAAATAAATAAAAGATACACTAGTATGAAGAGAGGAATCAAATCCTTTCTTATGGTAGAGTAACCTAAAGACTCCGTCACAGAAGGACTATTGATCATATAATTCAGCAAAGGAGAAGGTTAAAAATGCAAAATGTAGTATTGTTAAGATACACTGATAAACTTGATAGAGATAAGAATAAATGATAGAAAAAGATGAAAATTGCAACAAAGAAAATTACAAAGGAAGTAAAAATCTAAAGTGAAAATCCACAACACTGAATACCTATCAAGATACTAATAATGTTCTTCATAAAACTACAATTAATCCTACAATACATGTAAAAGCACCACGACTCTCCCAATAGCCAATGAATGCTGATCATAAAAACAGAGCTAAATTCAAGTCATACTAAGGTGTCACAGTAACTAAAATAGCATGGCATTAAAAAAAAAACAGTCTAATGGAACATATAAGAGATCTCAGAAAGAAACCATATATCTACAGATAGCTGATACTAAACAAGAGGTCAAAATCAGGCATTTTAGAAAGAACAGGCTCTTTATTAAATGGTGCTAGAAAGAATATTGTGTATTGACCCTAAAGTATCACTCCTTACAAAAATCATCTCAGGCTAGAATTACAGACCCATAATATAAAACCCAACATGTGGAACTACTTGAAGAAAAGCATAGCAGGAACACTTTCAGACATCTGCATAAACAATAATTTTTGATGATTGCCACTACAAAGGAAAGTAGTAGACAAATGGCGTGATATCAGATAAAAAGGCTTCTACACAGCAAAGCAAACCATCAGTAGGGTCTATACACAGCACAGAAGAGGGAAAAAAACATATGTCAACTATTTGACGAAGGATTAAAGTGCAGAACATAAAAGGAACTGGACACAGCAGTAGTGACAACTACCAAATGAAGGACAGGATTAAAAAGGGGCCAATTATCTGAGTGGACACTTGTCAAAAGAGGTAAAATGAACATTTTTCAAGATGTTCATGAGGTAAATGCCATAATACTCCAATTAGAATGGTCATATACTCCAGTTAGAACAGCTATTACAGAAAAGGCAGCAAAAGCTGCAAAGATACAGAAAAAAGGAAGTGTCATACACTGTTGCAGTAATTTAAAATAGTAGATCCATGTGGAAAACAGTGTGGAGGTTCCCAAAAAAGAGTAAAAGTAGATCTAACGTATGGTCTAGTCCTCCCCATACTTATTATATTTCCAAAGGGAATTAAATCCACCTACCAAATGCTCCCTGCACTCTTGTGCTCTTTGTGGCACCAGTCATGACTGCCAGGATATGGAATCAACAGACATTAATGTCCACAGAAAATGTGGCAATTATATCTAATGCGGTATTAGTCAGGCATAAAGAAAGGTGAAATCCTGTCATCTGTGAGAAACTGAATGGAATTGGAGGACATTATGTCATGTGGAATAAGGTAGACATGGACACTAGAAGACAAATGGCTCTTGTCCTCATTTATATGTAAAAGCTAAACTGAATATAGGATAGTTCTAATACTAAGAATAGTGGGGGGAGCAGAATGAAACATTAGCAGGTCCAAAAACAGTGGTAGAGATAAAAACTTTTATTTTTACCGACCTCACAATAGTTGTGGAATGACTACAGTTCACATTAACCTAATATACAGTCTATGACTATCTCAAAGGCAGAAGCTTCAAATATAAGAAACAAAAGGTCATAAGCCTGTTTTATCAATGCATTATTATAGATCTGCATTAAAATATCAAAGTCTTATCTATTAATATCTGAAATTATTATTTCTAATTAATCTAAAATCTTTAAATCTCTTTGCTTCTATGGTAGTCAGTATTTTGGGTTGTTTTGTAATATTTTACATCTATTTATTTTGTTTGTCTTCTTGTGTGCAAAAAATGTGTATGGAGGTCAAAGTCAAAGGAAATGTGTATGGCGGTCAAAGTCAAAGGAAATGTGCATGGAGGTCAAAGTCAAAGGAAATGTGCATGGAGGTCAAAGTCAAAGGCAAACTTGCAGGAGTCAGTTCTCTCATTTTCCCCGTGTGGATTGGGGAACTGAACACAGGACATCAGGCTTGCTGGCAAGCACTTTTACCCACTGAGACATCTCACCTGCACAGAAACCATTAATGTGACCATAGCTACGTTTTTGCTGCTATAGTCCTTTATGAAAACTCTCCTTCATTAAAAATCCTGTTTCCAAGCCCATGCAATCTGACAACATAAGACAGCCTACAACATAGATGGATGCTTGCACTCCATCTACTGATAGGCATTTCATGCTTTCACAATGTGTACACCGATCTTTGCACATTTCACCCCCATGGAGAATACCAGGGGCTGAAACTGTTGAACAGCAGTCAACATTTATCTAGAGAAGCAGGTAACTCTCGACGGAGGAGTTGTTTGATTCATTCAAAACTGTGACAGTAAAATGGTTAAGCTGTACTCTGAGTTAGTGATGAATTTTGACATACTGAAGAAAGTGGTTATTTTTCAGCCTCAGATGCTGCCTAGAGCTTGCATGGGTAATATCAATCTAAACACACAGTGAATAATTCAAATAAAGAATGAAAAAAAAAAGCTTACTCTCTTTCCGGGAGGACCTGGTGGGCCAGCCTCACCAGATGGACCAGGGGGACCCTGGAAATGAATACAGTTAGATATAAATGTATAATGCACTGTTTAATAAGCTGGGTATTTTTCACAGCTAACATAATTTCTCCAAATAGGAAATGAAACTGACTCTCTGCTCATTTATACACATCTGTCTTTCCTAAAAACCTCAGCTCCCAGTCAGTGGGCTGAACTGCTTCTACATATCCACAGAGTGAGCTAGAAAACTTATTTAGTAAACTTCTTCATGGATATAGGAAAGTGCTTCAAATTTTCTTTTTGGAAGCCTATGCCATTTAAAAAGCAATAATAAGGTTTCAGCAAACCCCTAACATATACATGTATACATCTTATCATATCTTACAAACTGTGCACATATTGACTTACTACCTCTAAACTGCTTCTCATACAACACTAGCATTTTGTGCCACTGTGTAAACAACTATATGAGTATATGTGCTCTAAGTATACCTTAGACTTCCAACACCTGAGGGACCGAACCTTGTAAGAGACTCAGCTGTCCTCAAAACTATTTAAGTTAATGCCTTCCAAATTTCTCCTTTCCTAAGGAACTCATGTGGCCAAAACACTTCTGTGTCGTTCAAAAAAATATTAAAATGTCTATACTGTAATTTCATTTAGCTTCTTAGCTAAAATAGCTTAAGAACTACAACAAGATATAGTCTGATATTCTTATTTTTATACTTATTAATATTTAAAAAGTATTATCCTTCTATAAACAAGTGGGAGTCTAGGTGTCTCTGACTCTTTTGCCCATGTGGGGGACCCATTTTCTCCCACTGGATTCCCTTTCCCAGACTTTGATTCCAGGGTTTATGCATACTCTTATTTTATCTTGTCTGCACTCAGGCCTCCTCTTTTCTGAGGGAGTGGGGAGGATGGGTCTGGAAAGGAGGGGTGGTGAAGGGGGCTAGAAGGACTGGAGGGCAGGAGTCTGTGCTTAGGATGTATTGTATGACAGGAGAATGGATAAAAATTAAGAAAAATAGATAAGTAACAGTAGGACAAGCTCATAAACATATTATGACACATTTCTGAGAAATGTGTACACAATATACACAATGAGCTTCAATTGTGAAAGACTGATCTTTCTGAATTGTCTTTTAAAAAATATTTGGGCTATGTAAGATGAGGGGAAAAAGTAAGCTTTCTTGCCTACCGGTTGCCCTGGATCTCCATCTTCACCCTTGTCTCCCCCGACACCATCTTGCCCCTGTAATTGACAGTAAAAATTAACACAGATTGTTATATCTTATTATTATAAAGTTACAAAGTTTACACAGACTATCTTGATGTAGCGGTGAAATAAACTGTGATCTGATGAACAAGTAAAATTACAGTATTTATTTTTTTTGGATAATAGTGCCTCTTCCTCTTTCCACAAATACTTGGGAAATTGTTATTATACTTGACTGGGTATAAATTATTATTTTTTTTTTTATAAAGAAAGGAGGAAGACTCACTGGATGTATAAGACTAGCGCTTCCATTCACCAGGAACAGACATAATGCAATTCAAAATAGGATTTGCACAATAAATAGCATTAAGAAATAAAGTCTGAACTTAGAAATAAAAGTATAGCTGCTACTTAGATAATTTGTTTGGGTAATCCAAACAAGTTTCAATAATAGTGCAAATGAAGAGGACAGTTGTGCAAGAGAGGTACAAGAGTCACCAGTTGGATAGACCTTGTGGTCAGTGTGATTTCTGGTGTTTCATATGGCTCGCTGACCTTAGAAGTTCACTTGTAACATAATTTTTTCTAATTATTACTACAGACTGAGGGAACAACCCCAGCAAAGCATCCTTTTATTTCTCCACGGTACTTACAGCAGGGCCAGGTTCTCCAGGTGGGCCAGGATCTCCAGGAAAACCAACAGGCCCCTAGAGAGACGGTATGAAAGGAAAAATAGAATCAAAACAAAGTTCCACAGGGTTGTTTGTAGTTTAAGAAGTTAAAATCATGGCAGCTGCTGGTTAGATATATTCTCCAGCTAGAAAAAAAAATAAATTAATAAAAATGAAAGGAACTAAGAAGGGATGCAAATATATCAAATGACATAATGACTTTGATTTTACCGGAATTCCACATTTTTAATCTGTCTATGAGAAGCTAATGAGGGAAACTGACACACATTTCACTTTAAAGGGGATAAACTCACCGGGTTCCCCTTGGGACCATCATCACCGGGCGGCCCCTTAGCACCAGCAGGACCCGCAGCACCAGGGGCCCCAGCTTCTTCTCCTTTCTCTCCTCTCTCTCCTTTGGGACCCTAAAGAATACAAAAAAAAACCAGTTACTTTATAAACACTGTTTCCAACTCTTAATACCAAAATAGTGGGCTGGAGAATTTTCAGTTTTTCTACTCTGTATTCTATATTGCAAAATTTCTAACAGACTCTGAACTGAATTAATTAAATGCCAATAGTCATGAACCCTCAATGCTAGATTGTCAAAACATTTCCAGCTTGTCAAGGGACTATAGAAGATTTAATGGCAGTTTAATTTATGTTATAATAATAAATTTTAGTTAGCAAATGTTTATTTAATACAGCAAGAAAATTGTTTTTTATCTATTATGGACAGTTCACTGAACACAATGTATATAATGATTGTCTTATCATTTTAATGACTTAAATCATGTAAATGTGACCTTTTAAAAACTTAGATACTATCAAAATATGCAGAGGATAGTCAGTTATTAAATAATATGTTTATGTATTCATGGTCACAGTTAATAAGTTGGAAAGGAAGAGTAAAAAACAGATACTGTTAGGATTCAAGTTCAATGTTCAAACCCTCTAAAAATAATTCCTAAATATCTAATGAAGCCTAATAATGGTTTTATGACTATGGGACTTACACTTGAGCCAGCTTCGCCAGGGGGCCCTGGGTTCCCGGCTTCTCCAGGTTCACCCTACAAAGAAAGTATCATATGAGGGTAAGAACATGGAAATCTTGTTTCTATTTGTAATAATGACTTTACTATGGCCATCCTAATTTAGACCAGCCTCTATCTTACTGTACTGCTTAAAACACACCAAAAATCTAATAAGAAAGAGAACTTGGATTAATGGTCTCAATAATTCAAGTGAGGAAACAGACTAAATGCTGATTCAGTTTTCATAGATGAAATCCAGCACATCAACCCAGGTTACCATGAAGCTACAACAAAAATCAGAATGTTTTCTAACAGTTTGCATTTGTGTGGCATCAAAATTCATATTATATCATGATTATTGATTTTAAAAATGGGAATATTTTTACTAAACTATAAATTCACTCTCTTGCTAATAAAATATATCAGCAAAAAACTTGGCACTATATTGATAATCCTATAGAATGAGTTAGTGGAGATCAGTGTGAAATTCAGAATGTACTTAATCAAAAGTCTTTTATTTAAGTGTTTAAATATTATAAATTTAATAGCTTTTATGATCTCATTTTAATCCAGTTGGATATTTGCCAGGTCATCTGACAAGTAAAAAAAATCTTAGAAAAACAGCAATCCATATTTAAATGAAGATATCATGAAGGGTATCCAATTTGTAATGTTTATGTACAAAGACACTTTCCTCAGATTTAGCTATGAAGTCTACTGCTAATGTTGTTCTTCTTAGAAATGCATAAAAATATGTCCTTATTCCAGTGATTACTTAAGTGAAAAGATGCAACACACACACACACACACACACACACACACACACACACACACACACACACAGCACACACTCACGCACACGCAAACTCACGCACATGCGCCCCGCGTACGTACACATGAGCCAATGTTCCATTCAGCACTCTCCTAACAACTCCAACATCAGTGATTGAAGGCATTATGAGGTGGGTGGGAGTCTTGTAGTTTTTAATTTTAAACACTGATATCCCAGGTCTTCCTGGCACATACCAGTAATGCTAGGTTGGTTTGAAATTTTCCATAGTAAAAGCAAACATATTCCAAAGAAGAAATTATTTCACAAAATTTCTTAGTCTTCTGAAATACAAAGAACATTTTGACTTCTTGAGGTGTTTGTATAGTTATGACAGCATCAAATACTTTCAAGGAATTCCTTAGTTGTGGAATTGCATGTCAGTTTTGTCTTTCCCAAGATAAATGGCAAATATATCCTGTATTTTGGACAATTATTACAAGTATAATATCACATCTACATTTATATATGAAGAAAAGACTCATTCAACTATCCTAATATGATAAAATAATATATCAATAATTGTGGGGGTTGCTATTCACATATTGAAAATGAAGCAAGTACTTTGTCATTCAAATAAACTGTAAAGCACCCATATTAAATAATTTAACACATGGAATATAAGCAACATTTACTAAAAATCTTGGAAATGAACTGAACACAAAATGTTTTTCTTATGTGTCACATTATCATGTATTATTGTGGAAAGTTGGAACTAGAAAATAAAACTATATATTTTTAAGTCAACATCAATATATTTTGCTCATCTCTTTCCATCTTTGTTAAACATAAAGGAAGTTATATTCTGGAAAATATTATTTCCAATTTTCAAAAATGAAGAAAATAATCATATCAAAAATGTATTTAAACAGTAACATGTAAGGGTAAAAACTTCTATGAAATCTTTGAGAATAGTACATCAATATTCACTTGCTTTCAGAATATTAAAATTCTTTATGCATATTATAAACAAACGCATATGATATAAATCACAAACTAATGAAGATAAAAATCAGTAATTCCTAAAAACGTCTGTACTAAAGTCTTTTAGAAATGGATTGACAAAATTGCAAACAAATACAGCAATGCAACAGAATATGTCATGTTAAGGAAGTCCATTCCATGGTGTGAATAAGGTAACAGGTATTTACTCTATGGAAATATAATGGTGAACGGGATAAAGGAGTGTGCACTTATCATGCCGTATTGCTAGTGCACTCTCCCCTTACTTAAGAGTGCTTCCTGCAGAAGCAACAACAAATTGTTCTGCATATTCAGAGTAATTACAAATTATTGTTATTATGAAAATGTGTTGCTTATTTGGTCTGAGTAAACTGTTGAGAAATCTCCCATAATTACACAGTTCATGAAGAACAGATTGGTATATTCGCACAAAAGAAATCATGGCTCATGGTCATCAGCCTCTGTTTTTCATTGTAATTGATGGATATAATTTTCCAAAATAGAAATTGCAGTGGAAATCAGTCAGAATCCATGTTGATGTCACAAATTTATAATATATAAGATATTATATGATATCAGACTTTTTTAAAGTTAAGATTAGGGTTTCCTATCATTTTTCTCTGTCATGAAAAAAAATTTTTAAAGGAAAAATATTGTTATCAAATAATATGTTTCAATTTAGGTATTTACAGAGTATAAAAGTCACCATAGGAAGATCCTAGCACATGCACGCGCACACACACACACACACACACACACACAACTTTAAAAATAAACAAATTTTAAATGAATAGATACAAATTAACTTAAAAAACTAACAGTCAAATCACCAGCCTTATTGAATATTACAAGACTCAAAAAATGGCAAACTGTTATCATTTGACCTTTTTACCTATATAACAATAGTGTGAGGACTTCCCTCTAACTCCCAATATTGGCAAAAGTGACTATTAATGGGATTCATAGAAGACAAAGTATAAAAAAAAACAAAGTACTTAAAACTATTCGCTTGTTATTGACAATCTTTAGGACATAGGTGAAGCACACTGAAATGTCTATTCAAATTACAGACTATTCTTAACTCTCTAGGCAACATCAGAGCCCAGAGGACATGTTCTCAAGAAAAAAGTTAGAGGGGGTAAAGTCCGGTAGGATTTTTCAAGACAGTGGTGTCTCGGATGCTGGTCTTGCCTTATGCTTTTTATGCTAGGACTAGTAAGCTTAATTGAGAATTTTTTTTTTCCAATAACTGCGCCTATCTCAACATATAGCTTTCATTTTAAGACTATAAACAAACCTCTAAAAGCAATTGTTAAGGAAACTGTATTCTTTATCCACTAAGAACTGTAAAGTGTAATTTGTTTTTAATTTAGTAATTAATGAGCTATTTGAACAGTGAGTCATATGCAGTTTATTATAAATACAAGAGTCGGGATGAAAAGCAGATATAAACATCAATATAACACAGTCTAATCTCATTATGCTGCTTTTTGGAGGGTTAACTCATTTAATGAAAATAAATGAATTTAATTATAAAATAAAATGTGTCAAAAAGAATGCAAAGCAAAGAAGAGAATCATGTTTCAAGGTTGAAATAAAAACATTACAGCTATTACTCAATAGTTAAAGTAGATGTGAAAATTTTACATAGTTTCCTTGTATAACATTTTATGGTATGAAATTAATTTTTTGTCCTTCAAAACTGGCAAATAATTTTCTTAAATGAAGCAAATGTCAATTATAATTTTCTTTAAAATTCTATTAAGACGTGAGGTTGAATACATAAATAAGAAATCAAAGAATCATTTTGACATTTCAAAAAAAGAAAGAATAGATTTTTAAGATGAAATAATGTTTACCAGGAAAAAGAGCTGTTCTGAGCACAGATGTTATGGCATACGCCAAGAGGCTTTGAAAAGTGCCAGAGATAGGCTGAAGTGTTAGTAATGAAAAGGTGACAAAAATCAGTGATTAATTGTTTTTCTGACATGAAAGACTCCTTCAGCCTCTGGATCAGTTGTAGAAAAGTGTTTCTCCTGCTTTAAGTACCAACTGTCACTAACTGTAGTCCTCGTCAGACATTCAGAAGCTGAAGTGTAGCTTGGCATTGTCGCTTTCTAACGAGAAACATTCACCAAATCACTGCAATTAAGCTTCAGCTTTCCCTGTTCATGAAAGCAGATAACTATGACTCCAACACTGTTCTGAGACAGGAAGTAATCCAGATGCAGCATCCATCACCACAGGTGGTCGATACAAAAAGACACAACATCAGATACTAATTTCAATCTGTGCAGGGTCTACAGTAAAATAATACTGAATTTGTGAATATATGTACAACACTTAGCACTGACCTTACGTTAGCAGCATGCAAAGTATGTCCCACAATTATCAAAGCTTGTGATTTCCGGCTGTCTTAGCCAGTGGTCCTTACCTTGTCTCCCACGCCACCAACAGAACCAATAGAGCCCGGGGGTCCTTGTGGTCCCTGAGATGTAGAAAAAAGAAACAGTGTTATACTTTTAATGAAATGTTCATTCACATGCACGTGTCTAGAGTTTTTAAAGAGAGCATTGTGTACAGGAATTTGGAGTAAATTGTGGGGTGGAACAAAAGTAATGACTTCTACAGTTGTCACACTTACTAAACAACAAATAATTTAATATATTATACCAGCTTTCAATTTCTCCAGAATTTGGAGCATAGGGCAAAAAGACTTCCAGATTTTGTCATGTACTTGGTAGTTGAAACAAAATTCCAGTGCCTATGCCATGGAAAATCAGGACAATTTTATGATATGATTTTATATTGAATCCCAGTCATGACTGTATTTAAGAATGACTTGCTGCATAGGAAAAACAAACCCCCTATAAACTGCCAGGCATTAGATTCCTCTGGGGGATGAAGGCTCCATATCTTTTCCAGTTTACCAGCTACTGATATTTTTTATTAGTTCTGACCTGATAAAATTAAAGGCAAGCATGTGAGAAAATAAATCCAATTGAAAGGAATGTGGAAAACATGTGGCTTCATTTGCAAACATGAAGTTAGAAGTGGATCACATAGGCCTAGAAAATCTATAGACGATAACAGTAGCATGGATACATTATTACATTTCCAAATTCTATAATATTCCATCAGAATGCTGGACCAGTTTCTAAGGGGAATGTTCTCTTTAAATGACTGAGAAGGAACTGTTCCTCTCAGTGGAAAGGGTGCACAAATGCACAATATTTCTCTGAATGCTTTATAGACTAGAAATGCATGAAGTAAAGCATTTAGATAAAAGCCTTTCTGTGGATACATACCTAACAGGCATTTAGAGTACACATCTAGACCAGTACATTCAAAGCCAATTACAAACTTCTCAATCATTGCCAGAGAAAAAGCTCAAACTGAAGAATTTAATAACTGTTTACAGAACAATATCATATCTTAGCTACAGTGTAAGTATACGCTTCTGAATAATAAGGTTCATAATGATACAAGTGATATTTTTCACCAATAAATATATGTTAAGTGTGAACTGGATTTCTATTTTTATACTAGTTTGTTAACTGGTCAGGAAAAAAGCTATTTCTTTCTGTCTATAATGATATGGATGAGTAGATGATCATTGGGTTCTTGTCCACTTCTAAGGATAAACCATGATGAGATTATCTCCATTGTATCTCATAAGCCATCTGCCAGAATATAATACTGGCACCAGAATGTCCCTTTGCAATTAATTAGCACACACTTCACAGTTCTTACATCAGCTCCATTGGGACCTTGAGGGCCTCGTGGGCCAGGAGGACCTGGTGGACCCTAGAAAAGACAAAATGACAGAGTTTGCCAAGATCACACACAAATACGGTAAACATTTTCATATTTTAAGATAACTAAGATAGTCTTGTGTCTATGAAATCACAGGCAGAGGAGAAACATCAGGTCTACAAACAAGCAGAATGAAGACAATATTATATCACACTATCAAATGACCCTTTACTCACTGATAGGAAATTAACACTTAAAAAAAAATTAAAGAATAGGAAAGCAACACAACGAAGCCTATTGCTGCTACAAATTATTCACAACAAAGTCAGTGACATACTATGGAAATATATTTTACAGCATAAAATAACCATAACGTGAAACAACAACAACAAGAAGAAAACTATTACTGGACTAGTTCAGAATTAGGGAATAAATGAACAAATATTGTTTTAATTCGTGTGAACATGATTGAGTGTATGAATCTCAGGTTTGACATTATAGAATTGGAAATAACTAGTTGCATTCCTACAATGAAGATGCTATGTCCTGATATACACTAAAATTACTCCCGGGATCCATTTGTTAAAACACTGTTGACCAACATCCCTTACTTCTAGGTTGCAATTAAGGTAGTTCAAAATAAAGAAATAAATAAAATGAGATGACAGAGAAATGAAATAAAGAGAATAGACAATAGTGAATACCTAGTCATTAGTATTTTTTTTTTTTAAAAAAATCTCAGTTTAATCCAATGCAAACAGTTGAAGCTTTTTCTAACCTGATCTATCATATGCTCCAGGAGAATGTATCAGTAACTCTGGGAACCACAGCACTGGCTCTAAAAGTGTACGACAGTGTGTCTCCTGCTGTTTCAGAGTATGTCCTCGTCCCCATATATACCGTGGATCCTCACAGTTAGATTTGCTGAAGACAGGAAAATTTTCAAAGTATATAATAAATCTGGGTGTTGCTCTTAAAGTGAATGAAATGTAACTTACAGCTATACAACTTCAAACTAGGAGTAGACCCCCACAATCAGGTGTAGTTGGTCAAAAACCTCCATGGTATTTTTGTAGATTTTTTTTTTTTTGTCCTATTGGTCTTTTCCTTGTATATTTTGGTTTCTGTTTTGTGGGGTTTTATATGTTTTTTTTTTTTTTTTTAAGAGAGAGGGCATAGAGTAGGTATGTGGGGAAGAGTTGGGGGAGGGCAAAGCATGATCAGAGTATATGGTATAATATGTTAATTAAAATATGTATTTTGAGCTGGGCGATGGTGGTTCATGACTTTAATTCCAGTACTATGGAATCAGAAGCAGGCAGATCTCAGTGAGTTTGAGGGCAGCCTGGTCTACAAAGAGAGTTCCAGGACAGCCAGGGCTGTTACACAGAGAAACCCTGTCTACAAACAAACAAACAAACAAAATATTATTTACATGTGTGTGTTGTGTATATGAGCATGTGTATGCCAATGCCCATGGAGGCCAGAAGAGGGCATTGGATGCCCTGGAGCTGGAGCCACCTGATATGGATGTTGGGAACACTTGATGTGGGTAACGGGAACTGAACTCCAGCCCTTGTGAGAGCAACAGCACCATTGATCATGGAACCGTATCTTCAGTTCCTGAAACTGTAAACATTTTCTATTAAAATCTAGAAAAATTCTCCATTACAACATTCTGGACAATGGTTTTTGTTTCTGCTTTTGTTATCAACATTAAGATAGAAAACACAGGTAACAAAGGCAAATACAGACAAATCAAGTTTCTCTCAAGTTAAAAGCTTCTGCATAGCAAATGATCAAACCACAGAATAGACTATTTGAAACCCTTATACTTAATAAGCTGAAATACATAAGATACTCAGTTCAATATTCAGAAAACAACCTGATTTGTATGTGCAAAAAACTGGAATAGAAATTTTCCTGAAGACATAGAAATGTTGAGTATGTTAGAATAAACAAACAAACCAATAAAAATATACAAAACTCAACACCACTAAACATCAGGGGGCATGAATGTGAATAAAAAACTCAGTGAGCAGTCAGTCACTTTATATCTGCTAAAATGGCTCTTATTAGAAAGACAAAGAGTAGCAATATTGTTAAGGATATAGAAAAAAGAGCACTCTGGCATGTTGATGATGAGATTATAAATTATTATAGCTGTTTTAGAAGGTAGTCCCTACTAAAAAATTAAAAATAGAACTACCAAATATTTCAAGCATTTTGCTATTGATATACATTCAAAAGAGCACAGGCTGCTCTTCCAGAGGACCTGGGTTGGATTCTTAGCATCTACCTGGTAGCTCACAACCATCTGGAACTCTAGTTCTAGGGGATCCAACGTCCTCTTCTGATTTCCACAAGACCTGGCACACACATGGTACACAAACATACAGTCTGGCAAAACATATATACTCCTAAGGTAAAATAATTTTAAAAAGTAATAATGTACTACTATATTCTTAGAATTGCCAAGACATTTTTATCTCAAAAGAAAAAATATGAGGTAATATGTTAATTGTCTTGAGTTAATCATTCTACAACATAAATATTCCATCAATCATTATGTTATTAATATATACAGTTGCTAATTTAAAATATAATTAAAATAAATTCAGAGAGAAAAATTTGAATATATAGTGAGTATTCTTAACTTTCAAGAGCCATCGAGACAGTCTATGGGCTAGGGTTACCCTACTGGCTCACGGAATGGAACTAAGATTCCTTGTATGGGTTTCTTATGTACCTATTAGGTTCATGAGTATAAGCTTGCATTCAAATTTTTTATGTGCTCATCCAGGCATTGCTCTAGGCTTTGAGAGAGACAATAATGAGCTATTCTGGAAACTGCCATCAGATCCTATCTCTTGCCCCAGCGAATAGGTGTCTCTCTCGGGCTTGGGATCATGTGGAAACAGTGAAAATAAGGAAGAGTCATTTTGACCAAGGCTGTATTCCAATCACGGAATGATCCCTGTCCTAGTATTTATCAAGTTTCCAAGTTTGTTCATCTTGAGAGCTTGATGACTCTTTTTATAAATTATCCCTTTTTTCTTTTTAAATCTTTTGAAAATTTACATTGTTTAAAAGTAAAGCCAGGCAGTGGTGGTGCACCGCCTTTAATCCCAAGCACTCGGGAGGCAGAGCCAGAGTGAGATCCAGGAAAGGCGCAAAGCTACACAGAGAAACCCTGTCTTGAAAAACCAAATATATATATATGAAGAGAGAGTTATAAGATCAGTTGAAAGGGTCCCCATACCCTTTAGTTAGTTTTGTATTTTATTGAATTCTGTCTTCATATGTGTACAAATGCATATTAGAATATTTATTAGAATTTATGTATAGGATATATATGTGGAGATGGACAGTTTTTTCCTGATCTATTGCAAAGATTCAGACATTATGCTCCTTTGTTTCCAGATTCTATACTGTTTATTTTTTTAGAGTTGGGACTCATCTTAAGAGCTTGGTTGGAGGTTCTAGCAGGAGAGAACAACTTGTATACTGTGTTGATTTGAATGAAAATGTCCCCATAGCCTCAGATATTTGAATACTTGGTCTTGAGTTGGTGGTACTCTTTGGGCAGGTTTTGCCAGTGTGGTCTTGCTGGGGGTAAGAGGTTTCAAAGCCAAAAGACATCCTCAGCTCACCTCGCTCAGTTTCCTGATTTTTTTTTTTAAGATGTGAGTTTTCAACTTTCAGGCCCAGCCACTCTGCCTCCACTCCTCATTATGGACTCCCTATCCCCGAGAGACCACAAGCCCAAATAAACTCTATCTTCTATAAGTTGCTTTGGCCATCATGTTTTAATCCCAGCAGTAGAAAAGTAACCACTACATATACTCTTGACCTCTAGCTTCCTCTATTGGAGGCAAGTATGAAGTAGCAGGAGAAAGAGAGAGAATGTCTGCCCAATTCTGCTGAATCAACTCTGGGGATGAATGGGTGATAGGCATTGCAGCCAGATCGCCCTTGTATCCTTAGGACTTCCTTTCATATAACCCCGATTCAATGATAAAGTTTAGAAAATTTAAGATTAATACTATTTTATAATACACACACTATTTTTCAAATTGTACCAATTATTCCAATAATATCCTTTATATAAAATTTCTCCTTGACCTAAGATCTAAACCCACATTATCTATTTAATTTTTATGTCTGTTTTTCCTCATTAGCTAGAGCTTATTTCTGTTGTTTATGATTGAAGGATTTTAATGGTATAGAGTCTGTTGTTTATGACCAAAGATCCAACACAATTTATCATCCGTTCCTAACCGACACTTTCATCTAGGCACAAAAGTCTGTCCCTTAGAAATCAGTATTGTAAGCCTCATTTTCATATTTATTTCTATTTTTACATAGGTATAGATGTATATCATATATACATATGTAACATATATATGAATATATATTAAGAAATTTATTCAGAATGACACTGTACATTCTCAATCTGTGATTTAAATCCAAGCCTATTTTATCCCAAACCCCTGGCTTATTTCATTTGAGGCTTGGAGATATTAGCAAATTGTAATCCCTCAGGAATCTTCCATGCTGGTTTGGAAAAAAAGAAAGACAGTTAATTAGAATAGATGACAGCGAATTTTAAACAGAGAAGTATGTACAAGGTGGAGATGAAACTTGATCAATAAATTTATATCAAGAAACATGGTCAGGGCTTCAATAGCAATGGAAGAAGATAAAATCAGTTTTCTTCCTTGGTGAAACTGAGTGTTTATAGATTGTCTGTCTACTGTCCAAAGTATGATTAATATCAATGCTGACCAGCTAACCTCCACCATCTGCACTGACAGTTACACATTTAGTTAGCTAACACTCTTAACTTTGACATCTGCTAATGTGACCATTACCTCGGGAATGTTAGGGACTCAAGCAGTTCCTATATGATTTCAATTCTTAGCTGACTGTTCTGATTAAGTTGACATTATCCAGTTCTGACATTTAGCTGTAACATATTACAAAGATCCTAATCTGTAAACGTGCATAAAAATCTGCCCTGTTTAGTCTGATAGTTTTAAAATATTGGCA